TCGGTAATGCCAGTCTCTATCATATCTCTGTGGGTTTTTTTTTTGTTTGTTTAAGGCATGCACACTTGTTCTTCCTACCATGCCTTTCCTGGAGCACTGGAGGAGTTGCCCACAAAAATCTGCTATCTGTACCCTCCTCTTTCCACTTCCTTCTTAAGAAGATTCTTGGCATTGCTTTGAGTGCTTTAGGGTTGGCGCTGTTATGCTTTTAACCATATTTTACCTACTAACCATTCCTATTTCCAGTACTTTTTACAGCCAATATTCTGTTCCCGTGCTCTTTTGCAATCATACAGTTTGCCTTTAGCCATGCTCAGCTAGAAAGCTCTTCAGAGAGGAACTGCCTTTTCCTTCTTTTCCTTATACCACAGTTACAGCTACRGACCCAGCATCCAGGACTGGGATCCCATGGAGAGTAATGACATACTAAATGAAATACTAAAATGAAATAATGAAATGAAATAATGAAATAATGAAATACTAAAATCACATTACTAACTCGAAAAAAAGGTCTGATTCATTTCTTTATCACATATCTTAAATGCCAAGTGTTCCAACGTGCTAAACTTCAGAGAATGGTTGAGAAATACGCCTGTATTAATCTAAACTTCTTCCAGTCTAACACATCCTCRAAACGGTCTCAAGGGTAGACGTATCTAGAAGAAATCACAGATCCCAAGGTGTTAGGATCAGACTAAGGGCTACAGTGCTCAACCTGTCCAGCCTCCTGCACAAGGCTGGCCCAAAGAACTCACCCAACAGATCAGTCACTGAAAGCAGATATTTCTCAGGTGAAGCACAAGGCAAAAAGAAAAACAAGGAGTAAGCAACTTTTAAAATGTGATTTAACTGTCCCGTTAGTCCTGTTTTGAGCAGGATGCCGATCTAGATGATCTCCATTGGACCTTTCCAAACCACAATTTTCTCCTATCCTATGATTTCATATAGGTAGCCACAGCTTTTACTGAATTAAGTGTCCACATGCCTTTACCTTCTTTTTTTTTTTTTTTTCTGAAAACAAGCATTGACAGTGACACAAAATATACTTTGTTCTAAATTGTCAGTCCTTATTTTCTTAAAACAAACAACAGTGTCCTTGTCTCCCTTTCCTTGCACAATATACTAGGCTAGCTCTCTTTCAACTCTAGATCCCAAGAGGGCTTTGGAAGAAAATGCTTTCTTCTTCCCGCTTCACCAGTTTATAAAGATCCCCTAATTCCTGCTGTTTTGAGAACACATTTTTATCCTGCTGTTTTGAGAACACATTTTTAGGAAATAATGATGCTTCAGATCACTGGGAAGTCTGAAGCAATGATTGCAAGTCATGAGCTACCACAGTTTTTGCATTAACAAATTGCTTTTACCTGCCTTTTAAACACAAAAGATACCATGGTGGGGAAAGTACAGAAGATGGTGATTTTTTCCCCTAAATGTATTATTATTCTGTTATCATTTTTGTTTTACCTGTACCAAAGTTGTCGCTGACACCATGGCTGCACTGGTGCAAAACGCTGGATATAAATGGCAGGTTTTCTCCTAAAAATCTCAGAGGTGAAACAAGAGACGCTAACAGCTAGGAGTGGAGAACAGTTTAAAGCAATTTCCCCCAAATTGTGTGGTAAAGCCCAGTCAGCACCACRGCTCTCTCCTGACACCACCCAGGTGAAGCAGCACGTCCCCAGGGAGTTCCTGCAATCACTGTGCAATTAATTATGTAACATTCCTACCCACACGCATGCAGCGGGAATGAGATCAACTCCCTGGCCAGGTGGCATCTGATCAGCTGCATTTTGCCTCTATGAGAGGCAGGATCTCATTAATTAGGAATCACAGCACTATTAGGGCTGCTTTGCAGCTATGCAGTGCTTCAGCTTCTGCTCACTTTGGAACATTCMCCTCTCTCCCGACTAAATTTGGCAATTTCTAGAGAAAAAGCACCAATTTACTTAGAGCAGTATRGTTTTTTACAGCTTATTTGTACCTATTTTAGAAATATTCTCTTACCTGCAATTAAAGTATACATCAAAAGCAGTAAATTTCATACGATGTTCACTTAAAGCACCRCTGAAGAGCACCATGTCTTTGGAGCTAGCAAGCAGAAGCCTTGAGCCCCATTAAAATGACCATAAACATGTGATAAACTCACATTCAGCAGTAAGTTTGCTTGGCTAAAACCCCCTTTGCAGTTTGTTAGGAAAGCAAACATTAGAGATATTGTACAAAGATACTCATTCTTGAGCCTTACCTGAACTTTGGGTGAGTCGCTTCATCTTCCCTTCGCAGCCCAGTCATGTCCATCAAACGAACTGAAGAGGATGAAGAAAGAGCATGAAGAGGAGTAGAAAGACTTTCCCTAAGAAAAGCGGATGCACATTTTTAAGCTGAAGTGGTCAAATTATCACAGGATTCCGGGAGCTGACACTTTAAAAACAAAAACAGATATGAAACTTACAATGAAAAACTGGAGCTGAAGGTGCCTACAGTATTTCTACCTTACAACTAAAGAGCTTGTATCGGGTCTCTCTGGCTATAGTTGCAGCCAAGGTAACACGAGGTTCATTTTCTGAGGTACTGTGTAGAATCCCAGGCAGGTGTGCATAGAGGCATTTTAGTTTCATCTCTATAACTGCCTAATTAGCAGTGGATAAAACGAATTCAGGTTACTTAATACATGCCGCAATGACTCCTCCTGCTTTGAGCTAAAGCAACCCGGCACATAAATATCTAGTTCTGTATGACCTTTAGCACCAAGGTATAATTTTATGTCTTCAAATCTTTCTTGGAACATTACCTCCTTCATCTTCAGGAGTGCCAAGAAAAGTAACAGGCTCCTCTCCCAAACTGGCATCAGCAGAAACCCAGCAACACTCACAGGAGGAGAAAAAAAAAGTGAATCCATGCAGAAGATTGCCCACAATTGCATATTTTGTTATCAGGCAGCAAAAAATCCCCAAAATTGCAAGGAAATCTGGGATCTGACTGCAGTGGGCCACAGGAGGTCCCAAATGGTCAGTTCCAAATATCTACCAAATGACTGCTGACCTTACATTGTGAGAGTGTGTTTGAATCAGAAAATGAACAATTAGGAGTTGGAGGGGTGGGAGTGGTTGGGTGGTTGTTACCTTCACTTTCCTTTCAGTAGTTACGCAAGTTGCTTTTTCCAGAATGTGMGGCAAGTTGCATCCAGGAAGATTAGAAATAGAATTTAAAAATAAAATAGATATTCTCCAATATTCACATGACTCCAGCAGCTGGGATTTCAAGAAAAAACACACAGAGAGACATTAAGTATTAGGGCAATACATTTTCTTCGCTGGTTTTGATAGCATCAGGCTGGCGTACACACAACCGCCAGCTAGAAGACTGAACCAGAATTACATTTTTTGTTATGAACTTTCTAATAAAAGCCCTACCATCCTAATCTTCCAGAGCACAGAAATGCCATTCCACCTTAGATGCTCTATGAAATGGATTCTATTGCTGATCCAGAGCCCATTGAAATCAAAGGAGATTTTTCATTTTGAGTTCAACAGGCTGTGGGTCAATGTTATAAACTCAATTTGAAGCAGCCTGGTGTTTCAMGCGGCTTTCTGCCTCTGTCTCTAGTGCTGCTAAAGCTGACAGATACAAAGATGTCTAATTCAACCAGCTGTAAACTCATCGTCTAACCTTTTAATTGTTTCATTTCATTTATTTGCTTATTGTTTCATTCCCTGTTTAATTATTTCTGAATATATTATCTTCAATGCATCAATTTGACTTTGAACTTACGTGTTTCCCTACAAGCTGGCTAGCTCAAAGAATGCATCTATACATATTTCTTCTTTTATTCAAAAAATACCCCAAACCCATGTTTTTAAGGTGAGAAACATAGAAGACAATATTGTGTACAGGATACAATACTCAGCACTTCCAGAAATTCACACATTAAACCCTTACCTTATAGCCAATTCTATTTCCCATAAAAACACCAAAAGTAAATACCTGAAAGCACAAGAAATTCATTATATCCTAACACTCATTGCTCTAAAGTTATTCTCCCTCCAGTTAAGAATTTATACCTTATTTTCTAATCTGGACTGTCTTCGCTTTATCTCAAGTTTTCCATTGTAACAGCCAGCTCTCTGACAAAAGAAAAAAAACCCTTTTATATACATGTATACATAAAAGCCTCTTCTCCCTCCTCCCGTTCCCTAGGTTTAAATAGGTGCTCTGATAAAATCATCTTTTAACCATTTCTTACAAGGCCAAATAAATTGAGTTTTTTTATGTTTTAATTTTTCAAACTTTAAACAATTTCTATAGCTTCTTCTGAGAGGTGAGATAGAGGCGAAACAGGACAAAGTTACTGTTCCCTAATTGCCCCTGGGTCACGGTGTCACACATCCAGAGAAACCATTCGACCAGTACTTTGGTTGGGGTCTCCCAACCACAAAATAATGTTTATTTTTTTTCCACCACTGTTTTTGTTGTCATTTTATTGATAAAAACTACACAAAAGCTAACTGATCATAATAATTATTTTTTTAAAAAAGCAAAACCAAAACCAATGTACACATTCTCCTGTGTTTTAGAAATTGCGTCAGCCAGTGAGTTTCACCAAAATACTCTTGCTTTAAAAGATTTTCCATCTGATCCATTTCAAGCACATCACTTCCATTTTGGTTTCCAAATGTCCATTAATTTTGCTTACGGCACCGCTGGACTGTAAATATGAGAGCTGATACTCCGTTGCGTGTTTTCCCCTTTCTTAGAGACCAAAAAGGAATTATAATTTCAACAATGAAGCACAACGAAGTAAAAATCTAAAGCACCCTCCATAGTGTACAGCCTGTGTCTTAAATGTACATGCACCCAAGTTTTTTGTGTCTGTTGCATCAATTGCCAATGTCCTTTTGGTACAACATGAGCTTTAATGCCCACTTCTGAAGTTTGAAATATTACTGCTCGACCTTTAAAAATAAGGAAAAAAAAAAGCTATTTTTTTTTAGAAAGAAAAAAAATAAAGAAAACAGATCTTTGAAGAGTAATAAACACTTAATAAGGAAACATGGCTCAACAATCCCACCCAAGCCCTTTCCCTCCCTGTCCCCCTTAATTTTTACCTGTGGTTCTCCTTCCCTGGAACAGTGCAATGTAGAAAAATCAAATATACAAACAAAACTCTTAATCCATCCCTTTATGTAGCTAGAGTGAAATCTATCTTTTTAATAAGAACTTGACAATCTCTCTTTAATATTTACATTGAGGAATCTGTTTGAAAGTTTAAAGCAAAGGAAATCCTGAAGTTCTCAGTGGGTACTGCATTTCCACAGTCTGYGGAGTTTGCTTTCTCCCCTTCCCTTCGTGTCGGAACATCTGCAACTGGAATGGTTGATTTTAGTTTCTTGCCCTGGTCTCTTCTAAGATGAAAAGTCCCTCCAAAGCACTGCCCAYTGCGCCCAGGAGGAAGGTGTCTCCATCATTAGTTTGGTATCCTCTCAATGTAAATGGCTGGAGCGGCCGAACGCGCGATTGTAGCTATGAAGCTGTGGTCTCGACTGAGTTCCAGGTTGGTTGTTTCAGCCTGCTCCCGGGACATGGTATCGTACCCCTTATTTACATGGAGAGGTTTATGAGCTTGGCAGTATCCAATCACTGGTTGGTCATAACTGTAATAAGGTAAAGTCTTCATGTGGTGAGGTACCTGCACCAGAAAGATCAAAAACAGAGAGAAACAGGTAAATAATGTGTTTAGTCACGTGTATGTAAAGCACCTAGCACAACGTAGTCTCAGATGCAGTGGCTGCTCAATACACTTACGATATAAGTAGTCATTGCACCTCTCAGCTCTTGCAGCAAGAAAAAGCTTCGGAGCTCCATGGTTGTTCCCAGCACATGGAGTTCCCTCTTTACAAGACCATGGAAATTCATCCCTGGTAGGTGCAAGTTAAGTCTGGTACAAATCTGCGTTCTGGCTCTTTACCGGGTGAATTCCCCTTGGAACGTCCTAGATTACAGATTACACTTAAGCACTCCATCAGCGGCCAGACTTTCCAAACAGTCCAGCCTGCTGAATTCTGACCTATCTGGGGCAATCTGTCTGTGACAATTACACTGAAAACGCTTAAAAAAAAAAAAAAAGTTCCCCTTGAAAGAAACACTTCTAAATGATAAATTTMTCATCTCCAAGAGATGAGACAATCAAGTAGAAAGAAATATGCTTTTAGGAAAAAAAAAATACTGTGGGGGATACAGGCAAGAGTTTATTCTAACACTGCTAGAAAACTTGAGCTCATTATAGCTGCAGATATCCTGCACATAACTCGATCTTGTAACAAATGCCTTTTTATTTTCCATGCTGAACTTTAAATGAAGACCACAGAGCTAATTTATCACAAATTTYCATTGCATGGTGTACTTTATTCAAATAGCATAAAAAAAAAAAAAGCAATGCATCGCAAGGACATTAAGGCTAATTATAAGGTTTGCAGGGGTAGAGCTCCTCTTGCATTTGGATCTAATATGCAGCTAAGATTTCCCCTCCCTTTAAAGCCCCTGCAGAACCCTGGAAATAGTCCAAAACTCTCCTACCAGCTGGAATTAAGCTGGAAATTTCTTCATTTTACATTTCAGTTGAATGGCAAGAATACAAAAGTGGCTCAGTAGAAGTCTAGAGGAAAACTGTATTCACYTGCAGATAAAGTTCAGTTACAGCACAATGAACTGTAACTTGCACTGGATACAGCAGGTTTCCAGAACAAAACCAAGGCCTTCCAAGAGCTGCCTTCACAGGATGGATAGAAGCATTGGCTATTCTAAGCTGAGCTGACACCAGTCTATTTTTCATTCAAAGACCAAAAAACATATTTAGGAACATCTAAATTACTGAAAATTAAATTTTAATTTTGGCTCTGGATTCTGAAGTAATTTMTATATTGTTTCATTATTGCTATGGAGTTGATATCTGAGACCCCTACGCAAATGTCACCCTGCACATGCCAGTTCATAATCTGAAAAATGGGAATATTATTTCCTACCACAGTTTGCTAGGGGCTGTCTGTGTAGGGCTAAAACAACATGACTGCAACCTAAGCTGCTATGGCCTCTGAGCAAAACAACAATATAGACAACCACAGTGCAATAATTCAAGCAGGTCACTACCTGCCTTAGTAAATAAACCGGATCTCAGGACTGCATGCCATCGTTATCCCCGGGCCTTGTATATGGGAAATGCATTTCTCACTGTATAGAAAGCTGAAATAAGGACGAGAAGTTACCTGAGAGAAAATAAAGATAGAGCTAAGAAAAAAATTGAGGTCCTTAAACACCAAGTCCTTCRCGCTCTCCTGCACGCCCCTCTGCTGCCGCTGGCCACCGGCATTTCCACTACAAAATTCTTTCAATTTTGGAATTGATTGGTTCCAATTGCTCYGGTTGGTTTTGGAGTACCATCAATTGTAAACAAAGCGTTGTTGAGATGGGAATGCACCATATTAAAAAATGAGAAAGCCTCCTTTTCTTTCCTATAACCTGTCATAAATTTTGATCCAAGCCTTGGCTGTATGTTCCCTCACACTTGTATTCCATGACAGCACAATCCAGTGAAATGAGGGAAGCTGGGGGATGCAATTTGAAGGGACTTTTCTATACAAAGAAATGGAGAGAAATAAAGAAAAAAAAAAAAAGCCACAGAAGCCCAGACTACTGTTGTGGCACCTGATCTGTGCATCAGACCGTCTAGTCCCCAGACTCACTGTTCAGGAGTGTCACAACAATCTAAAAGCAGAGGAGCAAGGAAAGTATCACAATTGTAAAATGAATACAAACCAAATAAATTATTTAACTTCTCCCGAGAAGATTTTTGATGGCAAATTCCTTTGTGACAGATTTCTTTTGGTGGTAGAGAATAAAGAAATCATTGGAAGGACAGATCTTCCTGGACACAGGAGGGAGCCCTTTTAGGCTGAGCATGTCRGCAGGATTCTGTTCATGAGAAATTACAAGATTTTAATTGCCTCCACTGATCCCTAGCAAAGAAAGCCGTGTGTATGGGGGCAAAAACACACGGGAAGGAATGTTAAGCCAGCAGCAGAAGGGATAGCGTCTCCTCCTGATGTGCCCATGTCACTTCCATTACTGCTGATGGGAGCGTGTGCCTAAATCACTGAAAGTCACTGAAAGGGAGACTGCAACCCTAAATCACTGAAAGTCACTGAAAAGGAGACTGCAACCCTATTGCTTCCCCATAGGAATGATAAATGACTTGCATTGGCGTGAGACTTTATACAATTGCCCCCTTAAGTGGAAAGATTAAGGAACAGTCTCTGCGTCTTGCAGCAACCCAAGAGAAGGAAGGGCAGATGCTAAAAAGGGCAAAGCTGGGGGGAAAAAGCGCATTTCAGGTTGAGAGAAAAAAAAAAGCAATTAGGGTGAAAAATTGGCACCAGGATTCCCGATGCGGATGCACTGTCTGCAGGATGAAGGACCTGGAGCTGGGGCTCCTTGCAGGCAGTGCCTTGATGTCAGCACAGAACGGGGCTGCTAGGAGATGAGCCTTCCCAGTTTGCACCCTGAGCCCGAGGAATGGCCTCTCTGGAAGGGACAGGGATGGAAATCGCAAGGCCAAAATGGTTAAGAAGTAGAGAAAGTCCAAATCGTCTTTTCTCTGAGGAAATCGAAAATAAGAAGGTTTCTTAATTTTCTATCCTATATCTAAAAAGCAACAGAGAACCAATCCAGACACAAGTTCAGCTCGAAACTCTCTTGGGATTGCTCTGTGTCAAGCTCTCCCCTCTACTCTTTAAAAATCTGCCAGCTGGAAGGATTCAAGGCTATAATTAGTTGCAAACAAATTGGAATGTGTAAATTTGACCAGAAACCTGAGACCAGCTCTGAAGAAGTGCTCTGAAGCATTCAAATAGAAATAAAGCACCAGGACCACCCGGCTGAGCACTATTGCATGTAGCCAGGAGGGGGCTGTAGAGCACACAGGCATTCCATGTCTACCACCTAATTGCACTGCGAATGTTGCAGGAAAACCAAAGGATCCTCAAATCTGTTCCGAGGCAATGAACCTCAATGAATCTGTCGCAAAAATAACCATACCTGCTTGGACCATTTTTGAGCTTGAACGCCTTAGCAGTGACAGACTATAATTGAAAAGAAGGGGTTGGAACTGCTGGAAAATAAAATCGGCCCCGGGAGCTAGATTCGGAAAACCGAAGGAGCCACTGCTGGAAATACCTGCTGCTCACGCCAACAGAAACTGCACACTCGAACAGTCTCTCAAACAGCCAAGCGCGAGCCAAACGCTCTCCAGCTATTCTCATATTTTTCAAACTCATTCTGGTTGGAAAAGGTAATTCCTGTGTGTCAGAAAGGATCAGCAAGGAATCTTAGTAACTCAATATTTTTTTCCAGAGTGCAGCATTATTTTGGTGCTTTGCTGGGGTGCTGGAAGGGCCTGTGTTAACAGCAAGGGATCTTCCTCTTTTTCTCGTTGACAAGTCGACACTAGTTGCAGCCATCTAGAACAGATACTCAGCCTAGTTCATCTGTAAGATCAAGGCAATATCATGGCTCAATCCCTAGCTATGCAAGGGTAAACCAGATTGGGAGAAGATATATATAAAAAAAAATTCCCCTCCTGTAATCTATAACCTGATGTTTATTTGTGGCGCCTTCAGGTCTGGAGCTAAATGGAAACTGCATCGTGGCAAGCACTGCTCATGCATTTAGGAAGAGCCTTTGCCCTGAAGAGCTTGTGCTCCAGACAGGCACGACAGATGAACGGTGGGAGAGAGGAAGATAGCAAACTAGCAAAAGATCTGGAAGCCGATGCACAGATTGAGGGACAGATTTTTCAAAAAGCTAAAAACACGAATGCAGATTTTCTGTTCTTATGTGAATTCCCGTATCATACAGCCACTATRGTTGTGTCCAGCACAAACACATCTGCACATCACAAGATTTGGTGATCTGTGCACCATGTCCACACCATACGCATTCCAGAGAGATAACAGCAACACATGTCCAGTCAGGTGTTCCATGAGGAACATGTTCGCTTCCATGTTCAGCTCCATGTTCAGGAGCACATTCAGTTGAGTTTCATCTCCAGAGAACTCCATCCGCGGTCTCTGACCCTGTCCTGTGATGTGAATTGAAGCCCATTACAGACCCATAAGGGTCTCGAGACCCATATCGAAAGTATAACACCAATCTGAAATAAAACACCAGTATCATTTCAGAGCCAGGGATGAGACTCAGCTCTCAAGCGTGCCAAGAGAAGCAGACTGTGTTTTGGATGGCTTCATCATCAACACACATACAGCTGTGCTTAAAAGCACCACCAGAGAATACACATGACTATGGGACTGTCAATGTTTGTGCTATGACACTCTGAAGATCACCCTTAGTCTCGTGTAAGATGGATCAAGCTCAGATCTTTTTTAATGCAAATAGAGCTGCTGGCAGAACAGCTGAAGAGGAATTACTGCTTAAAGTGCACGGTGAAGGACCAAGAAACGAGGGTGCATTCCCAAAAGGCAACTCATTTGCCCACTGTTTCCCTGTTTCATTTCCATCCATTAGACTTCTCATCAAATCCCTTTTCTTTGGTCTCTCTTTTCATCAGCTGACTTCACAGTAGCAGCATCAAATAAGCCTGTCAAGTAAATAAATTATTGAAGCAACTTTAAACACGGA